TCACTAACGCAGCAATATGAAGGTGAGACAGAATTAGTTCTTGTAAGAAATGTACCTCAATTCCATCCATGTGTATGGTGATATTAGCCAGAATGATTGAAGAAACCTTCTTAAATAGCCTTTTTATTTGAGAGACAATTGAGTCTGCTCACATAAAAAACCAAGAAGAAATGAATGTTATAGTAATCTTTATTGTAATTTTATTTGCTTTAGGCAGTCAGGAACAAAAGCTGACCTTATTTATGCAATGTTCCCTTCAACTAAACTACAACAAAAAGTACTATATGATCTAAAAGTGGTGAAAAACAATTCATCATCTCATTTATACCACTATAATAATTTCCAGGAGAGGTTGAAGAAACTGCAATGACGTTTTTCCTTCAGTAAAAACAGAAAATAGCATTTGTCTGCCTGAATGGCCAAAGGAAGAAGAAGAAGAAGAAGAAGAAGAAGAAGATACCTGCATCATAAGCCCAATCATAATGGCCTCGTCCAATTTGAGCCAGCATTTGCAAGAAATAATGATTACGATGTGGACCTAGAAAAAGAGTGAACACAGTAAATCTGCTAAAATTTCAGCTGTTATAATGCTCCAGGAATGTAGTAAGCAAACATGGAACAAACAGGGTGGACTCAGCTTGAGTAGAAAAATTTTTTTGAGCAATGTTATTATCTTTGGATTTTGTATTAAGGTCCTAATAGCATAAATTATTTTAGAAAGAAAAGAAACATCAAGATCTCATAATACCTATATATCTATCTATATTAAGACCACAGCATGTAGTTGAAAAAGTTGAATATTGTGTCTGGGCAAACATTCACAGAAATGTAATTCTTGATTCCTATAAGAAACCAAACTGACCGAAAAACGCAGTCTTTATAAAAGTTCTTACCAATACCAAAAGTATATATACGAGGAGAAATTGATCCTCCACTTGTCATATAGCCTTTCATCTTATCGCAAAACAATCTTTCATCTTCAACAATCCCATCAGTTATAAGGAAAACAAGAGGAATTGAATCTTCGGCAGCAGCCAACAACTTCATTGCCTACAACACAACTCTAAACTTCATTGCTCCAATATGATACAGATATTTCAAAGTTACAGGTATGAACCGATCTACCCTCCCAAAATGAGACGAAAAATGAGACACGGAATTAGTAAGCCATAGAAGAAGGCTACTGTGAAAGATGAACCAGATATCCAAGTAATCTTAAACCACTAGAGTTATTACACAAAGGAAAAAGGTTCACATTGTCTAATATTGATTTAGTACACAAATAAGAACAGCAGGTAAAATTACAATACCAAAGAAAGAGGTGAAGCAGTCATCTCATTGTTTTATAGCGAGTGATTTGTTCTAGAGCCTTGCAAGAGGCACCCATGATACAAAGAAACTCAAATTTTAAGACCATATTTGAAGATGACAAGCAGATAATCCTCTACATAGAGCTGATCAATCACTTGAAAGATGTTAATAAATTATATGTACCTGTTCAATGGGATTCAAAATGTTTTTACCAGCACCTACAGTTAAATTTTCAAGCCACTGAGTAGCCTTTGAGATTGATCCATCGGTAGTCTGCTCCATTTTTGATGAGAACAAGCAAGTCTCACCATTGAAAGAAATAAGGTTAAAAGAATCTTCTGGATTAAGCTTGGACAGAGATGCTGATACTGCTGTCTTAACACTTCCAAGTGGGGCTCCTTGCATGCTTTCACTATTATCAATTATGAAAACCACTTCTTTTCTGAATACCTATCACATTTCACCTAGGGAGTAAGAACAACCATGATAGATCGACAAGGTTTCATATAAAGTAAATAGGTTATATTGACTCAAGTCACTCAAGGTTGTTGCAGCAGCATCAGAGGCTTCAAGTAAAGACTAAAGAGACATCAAATAGGGCAGCATCAAGTATGCAAATAATTGCAGATTTTTTCATAAAAGAAAAAAGAATTGCATATTATGTATAACATCTTACCAACCTTTCTAGTCTCCTTATTTCCAGGGAAAAGATAGAAGCAGAACATCTCTTTTTTTGACCGCAAAAGTACCCCACCCATCATGTCGGTTGAAGAAACCTACAAACAAAGCCAACAATCAAGCATTGCAGTTGGTTAATTTGCAATCCTGGGTATCATATTAAATAAAAGAAGAACCAACGTTAGAGGCCTTACAGTATATGAAAAATTAAAGTCTGCAGCTGACCAAGCCTCAACTTCTGCTTCATATAAGAAACTTCCCTTTCGAACCTTACCACTCAGCTCCTGAGAAGTCATGATTACTCATGTCATTCCACATACAATCAGCAACCAAGTAGAACTAGTGACTACCCAAATGTCATACCTTAAGGGAATGGCTGGTACATCGCCACAAAGTTTCTGTACCAATACCTGAATTTACATTCAAAACTATCTTTTCTTTCTTCTTCCCATCAGGAATAACATACGCCGGAAAAGTAAAAGGTACATTGAGGCAAAATTGATCCTCTTGGTATAATAATTTCTGGGACCAACTGACTTTAATTGAAAGTTTAGAACCTCCCTCAACCTACCAAGTAAAGACATATACCACATTATTAATAACAAAATTACAAGTAATAGAATAGAAGAAAAATTAGACTAGTTACCTGTGGAATGTTGAAAGTATCCAAATAGGGTTTCAAGAACCTTCCATCTCCGGCGTTCAGAACTTCCCCTGTCTCTTTTGTATCCCGTACCTTGACCCATTGGGAATAAAAAGGCTTCCCTGCCCCAGGCCCTGAGCCAGGAAAGTCAACCTTAACATCTAGAAGTGTACCCTGTTAGCCATATATAATGTTCGTCTTGAGAAAAATGAAAAATTGCAGCAAACATCAAAACAAGAAAAAAAAAAAAAACCTAAAAAATCAAACCTACATGAAATTACATTATTTTTATTTTTTGTACTTTTTTTTTTCTATAACACGACTATTCCGAATTTTGGCCAGAATAATTTTACATTATCCCAAACCATCTTGTACACAAAACCACGTGCATGCATGACACATCAAAATTGTTTGCACTGATGCAAGAATTCCATTATTCCAATAAAAGTGGTATCTTGTTACCTGCTCTCCCATCGGTACAGCAATCCGGCAATCACACTTTGCCGTCTCCTTTACGCAGTCCATGTCCCACTCACCAGTAACCGTAACAAATGCAGTATCCAGGCAGCAATCCACCTTCATGCCCACCTTGTGCATATGCAACGGAATCAGTGCGGGTGGTACGAATTGCTGGACGCTCTGCTTGTCTGAAGTACACACCACTGCCGGCTCCATCACCACGGCGTACGCCATCACTGCCGATGGTAAATAGCTCTCAGGTGCCGATCTCGACATCTTCTCCAACGCCGGTGGTGATCCTTTATCGTAGTTTGTTTGCTTCGACAGCTGAAGGCCGTAATCTACCGAAGTTGAAAACTCACTAGCCATACGGCCGCACAATCTTCTCGGAGATTAGCAAGTACCAGGAACTGTTTTGTGATAGGAAAAGGTTGTTCTGGAGGAAGGAGGAAGAGGAGTAAATAACTAACTGGTTACGGTTGCTTTTAAAATGCAGTTAGATACAAAAAGAGAGAGATTCTTTGATAAACGTGAATTTCATTAGTAGGCCTACCATATTCTTTAATTATCTTCTCGGAGAAATGCAGTTAGAGAAGAAAGAAATTCTTCGGTCCAGCTGGGACCTGACTGCATGGAAAAGAAAGGAAGAATGTAGTTAGATAATAATGTCTTTTTTTTTTTTTTGTCACTTATTCAAGTTTTAACTTATCATCCAAATTAATTAATTTTTTAAATATATCAAATTAAACAGTGAAAAAGTATGTTTTAAAATTATTTTTTTTAAAAAAAATTAACATATGGGACAACGTGACTATAACCAAAAAAAGAAGTCCTTTTATGCATTTTTTATTTTTATAAGGATCGAAAACTTTAGTTCTGCACCTACAATACACGAGAGGGAGGCTCTTAAAATAATTTAAGAAGAAAGTATTTTTGAGGTAGGTGAAGGTGACTCCACATAAAAAAAAAGGGTCATTTTGTTCCTTTCTTGTGCAGACTGCGCCTTGGAGGTGAAGCCAACTCTGGTGCGATGTTGCCTAACATCCATCACTTTTTTTTTTTGGTCAATGAAACATGGACAAAGGTTTTGCATTTTCAATTTAGATATGGTCCATCAATCTTATGAGGCAGAGGTTTTTTATGTCGAGCCATTCTCAAGATAATTTATGTGTATCTCAAAATTATTCAATTTTTTATAATTTTTTAAAAGTAAATTCATACATGATATACATTATAATTAAATAATTTAAGGTTTTTTCTTTTTTAGTGATGGATATTTATATGTTGGTAGATTGAATCTACCATGTTGAAAATTGTACTACTAAATATCAAGAGTGGCTAATCAAATTAATTTATCAAATAACCTGATTAAATAGATTATCAAAATTTTGTTCTAAAAGCTGAATCATATGCTTTCTTAAACATATTGATGAGAATAAAGATAAAAGTGTAATTAAAAATTAACATAAGAAAGGAATAGAATTCCTCCAACAGCTTTATGAATTTGTTTTGTTTTGGTTTGTTTTGTGATTTGCTGCACCTATTATAAGTTTTTTTTTCTTGACTATCTCAAATGTGTATAAAATACTAATGAAAATGGGAGAAAAATATAAAACAATTAATTAAAATTAATTAAGAATAATACATTTGATGTCCACAATAATTTGGGCCTGTAAGGAATTCCTTTTGGAGGGAGGCCTGCAAAATCTGCAGTTCCATGACAATGAGTCCAAGACAGTCAATAGCACCCGCTTCTTGGTTAATGGATCTGTACATCGTCATAGATCATCATGGTGTGAAAACACCAAGCTAATCAAGTTCTTCGAAAATGATATAATCAAAATGTAACGTGGTATTATAAACTTACGAGTATAATGTGTTATATAATTGATTTTAACAACAATTTACAGGAAAGTGGATGTATTTATTGTAATATATACACAATCAGCATGATAACGTTTTACACATGCAGTTTCACATCCCATTCATTTTCTAATTCAATCTGGCACATGTATCATCCTTAGACGCAACCACAGAGATCAAAACAGCAATCAAAGCACTCGAAACAAGCAAGAGCAGCACAGATTTGTGAGAGAACAATGAAGCATCGGTCATTTAAAAATGAGACAGATTGGATGAAGCACATGCAACAACAGCGGTCAAGCATCCGGCCACAACAGTTGGTAGCAGCCTTAACTAAAATCTCTGCACCTTCTGGTGACTTGGGTTCCTCTCTTCCTGCAGGTTTATTCTTAGCTGTTGCAGATAAGTTGCCAAAACCAACACCAAGGCATCCTAGGAAAATGATCTTCTGGCCACTGGCATCTCCCTTTGTTAATGACTGGTTGATTTTGTTGAATATCTGGTTCAGAGCAGGAAATTAAGAAAACAGAACAGTTTTGGCCTATATGGTCATGTACTGAAATTAAACCTTAATATGTAGTCTTGTAGAAAGGGCTGAGGAAGGCATATACCTCCTGTAGGAGAACTGGTTCTGGTGCTTTCTTCTCACTATCAGTTCGGAACAGAACCATGCAGGTATACTCGGATGGAAAACTAGTTTGTAAACTTATTTTAGCAACCTGTATGAAAGAAATTGTAATTAAAGGGAAAAATATAATAAACAGGATTTCAAGAAATGATGACAAACAGGGATTCATTATGAGTATTTGTTAAGGAAAGATTATCAGCAGAGCTCCTACTTTCTCAGCTGCATGCATTTGTCCTTCTTGGTATAACTATTTCATTATTTTACTTACATAGTTTACTTAAGCTCAAATTTGTTATTGAGGTCAAATTAAATGCTCTGAGAAAAGTCAGTGGAAAATTGGGAAACCTTCTCCTCAAGCTCCTTACTCCCAGAGAACCATGCTTGAGCTGTGAGAGCATCAATTTGTTGCCTTGCAAATACCTGCCAAGACATAGGAAAACACTTTAGTCTATGCAACTAAAAGGCAAATCAGTGTGCTTGGATACAATGCTTTTAGCACTTTCAAGTCCAATAGAAACCATTACCCTGTCAAGTGGAACATCCTTTGGATTTTGAATTTTCAAGTCAGTTACAAAATTGGTCATATCTGCCAAGATGCCGCTAACTTTAATATTGTCTGGAAAGTCTCCTTTGTATCTTCCGGAGACAAACAATGGATTTCCAAATGAAAGGTCTGGAATATGAGACTGAAACAACTGCAAGGATGACCATGTGGAAAACAGAATATGTCATTAACACAGCAAGACAAGGGTAAGAAAGAAAATTAGTTTTGTGAGAAATGTACCTCAAGTACATTCAGATGTTCTGGCATGCTTATGGTTATATTAGCCAGAATGATTGAAGAAGCCTTTGTAAAAAACCTCTCTAATCGAGAGCCAATTGAATCTGCTCGTGTAAAAAACCAAGTGGAAATGAATATCTTAGGAATCTTCATTGTAATTTTATTTGCTTTAGGCAGTAAATGTAACCTTCCACTAGACTACAACCATAATAGTTTACAACTGTGGTTGCAGAACTGTAATAGCATTTTTCTTCAGTAAAAACAAAAGATAGCATCTTTTGGGATATGTGGCATAAATAAGAGAAGAAGAAGAAGAAGAAGAAGAAGAAGAAGAAGAAGAAAATAACCTGCATCATAAGCACAATCATAATGGCCTCGTCCGATTTGAGCCAGCATTTGCAAGAAATAATGATTACAATATAGACCTGTAAAAGAGTGCACACAGTAAATCAGCTAAAACTTCTATAGTAATAATGCTCCTAGAATGTTGTAGGCAAACATATTACATATTAGGTTTACACAGGCCAATATGATATCAAAACAGTTGGTTACAAATTATTAACTGTATGTGCAGCAGAACCAAATTGAGAACAGATAGCCAGCTGAGATGATTTGGCTATTTTCAGTTGAGAAGAACTATAATTAGATTCAAGGGGTTATGGGAAAAGAGTAAGTAAAGATAATCAGAGCCAAATCAAGGAAAAAAGAGGCTTTCCAAAGACCAAAACATGGATCAAACAGGGTGAATTCAGCTTAAGTAGGAAGCTCTTTTGAGTAAGGTTATCATCGTTAAAAGTTTGTGTTATGTTAAGGTCCAAATGCATTTTGGCAACAAGGCAGCATCAGCTATTTTAGAAGAGAAATGATGGATCCAGATTCCATAAAGTCTATATATGATATATCTATCTGTATGAAGAGCACAGCATGTAGTTGAATAGGAAGAAAAGATTGCAACTATTCACAGAAATGTAATTCTGGAATTTTTAAGAAGAACCAAACCAACTGGCATAAGCAGTCTTTATCACAGTCCTTGAAGGAGAAGAAACTGTTGCTGAAAGGCTAACATTCTTACCAATGCCGAAAGTACATAGACGAGGAGAAATTGATCCTCTACTTGTCATATAGTCTTTCATCATATTGCAAATCTCTCTTTCATCTTCAACAGTCCCATCAGTTATGAGGAAAATAAGAGGAATTGAACTGCTAGCATCGGCCAGCAACTTCATTGCCTACAAGAAGACAACCCTAAAAATATAAACTTCATTGCTCCACTAAAACAGTATATGACAGGGATATTTAAAAGTCAGAGGTATTAACTTTATCCTCCAAACATGGGAGGAAAAAAAAGACAGGATTAGTGTCAGTATACATTTTTCATTTTTTCTGTGAATGAGCCATATAAGAAGGCTATCATGAAGGATAAACATGTTAGTAAATTATGGGTACCTGTTGAAGGGGAATCAATATGTTTGTACCAGCAGCTGTAGTTAAATTGTTGAGCCACTGAGTAGCATCTAAGATTGATCCATGGGTAACTTGCTCCATTTTTGGCGAGAACAAGCAAGTCTCACCACTGAAAGAAATAATGTTAAAAGAATCTTCCGGATTAAGCTTGGACAGAGATGCCAATACTCTTGTCTTAACACTCTCAAGTGGGGCTCCTTGCATGCTTCCGCTAGTATCAATGATGAAAACCACTTCTTTTCTGAATACCTATTATCCACAAGGTTTTCATATAAAATAAATGGGTTATTTGGACTCGAGGTTGTTGCAGCAGCATCAGAGGCTCCATATGAAGTAAAGACTAAAGAGATATCAGATGGCCAGCTACAATACCAATTACTAGCTTCAAAAATTTCAATCTTTATATTGCTATGGCCAATTATTTACATAGAGCTTATCATTTTAAAGGAAATTCTAAGTAAATTAGTGCATTATCTCTTCTTGTACAACCCATCATCAAATGTACCAAAAAAAAGTACAATAGTGCATTATTCAAATACCTTGCTGCCTATCCATTAGAATTAGGAAATAGAGTTTCCAATATAATGAACAAAAGGAAACCTGCAATTCCTGTATTTAATATTGAAGGGAAAAAAAAAACTTGCTCTTTTCTTTAAAAAAGAAAAATTGAGAACAAAATGAATTTAAAACCTAGTTATGCTTTATATAATATTTCCAATCTCAAGGCCAACACTGTTATCCAGTCTGAAATCCGAATGCAGCCCTGCTGAGATGGATTCTCAAAAGCAAGTCATGAAATAGGACCCAACTAAAAGGGAGAAATAATTCACAAAAATATCCAAATAATTGTAGGTATTTTCATATGAATAAAAGGAATTGCATATTATGTATAACATCTTACCAACCTTTCTAGTCTGCTTATTTCCTGGGAAAAGATAGAAGCAGAACATATCATTCAATGGTGGAGACTGCAAAAGCACCCCACCCACAATGTCCCTTGAAAAAACCTACAAACACAACCAATAGTCAATCAAATCAGTTAGTTATTTGTAATCCTGGGTATCTTATCAAATAAAGAAAGAAGAACCATTGTTTGAGGCCTTACAGAATATGAGAAATTAAAGTCCGTACTTGACCAAGCTTTAACTTCTGCTTCATATACGAAGCTAAGTTTCCGAACATCACGACTCAGCTCCTGGAAAGTCATGATAATCAAGTCATTCCATACACAATCAAAAACCAAGTAGAACTAGAGACTCAAATGACATACCTTTAGGGGATGGCTGGTACATTGACATAAAATTTCAGTACCAATACCAGTATTCACATTCAAAACTATCTTTTCTCTCTTGGAAATTTTCTTTCCAACAGGTATAACATATACCGGAAAAGTAAAAGGTACATTGAGGCAAAAACGACCGTCCTGGTATAATAATTTCTGAGACCAACTGACTTTAATTGAAAGTTTAGACCCTCCCTCAACCTACCAAATAAAGAACATACAACATTATCATTGACAAAATTACAATTAATAAACTAAATTTAACCGCTTGATTACTTAATTAGAATAGAAGAAAAATTAGACTAATTACCTGTGGTATTCTGAAAGTATACATATGGGGTTTCAAGAACCTTCCATCTCCGGCTTTTGGAACTTTCCCTGTTTCATTTGTATCCCCCACCGTGACCCATTTGGAATCATAAGAACTTCCGGCCCCAGGGATGTCAACCTCAACACCTAGAAGTGAACCCTGTTAGCCATATATAATGTTCGTCTTGAGAACAAAGCAAATTGCAGCAAAACATTTTAACAATAAAAAAAAAAAAAAAAAGCTGTGTCTGCTGCTTTGGAATTGTTTGCACCGATATGACAATGATTTCAGTTCCTAAAATTCATCTAAAATCTAAATTTTCTGGTAAAATAGTGGTTTGTGGTTCGAATTGTAAAACACAGAACTTTTCTCTTATTACGATTAAAGATGTATAGTATTGTTACCTGCTCTCCCATCGGCACCACAATCCGGCAATCGCACCTCTTACTCGCCATTACACAATGCACGCGCCACACACCAGTAACCGTAACAAACGCAGTATCCATGCAGCAATCCACGTCCATGCACACCTCGTGCATATTCAACGGAATCAGCGCCGGCGGGTCGCACCGTCCGTGCACATACGGCTGGTAGCTCGGCACGTCGGGATTATCCACCACCGCCGGCTCCACCACCACGGCGTACGCCATCACCGCCGTTGGTAAACAACTCTCCGGCACCGACTTCGACATCACTTCCGGAACCGGCGCCTTGGGGCCTCCCTTGCCGTAATATATCCGCTTTGACAGCCGAAGGCCGTAATCAACCGAGGTTGAAAAGTCACTAGCCATGTGTTACCACACAATCTTCCCTGTTATGGAGATTAGAAAGCTCCGGCAACGGTTTTGAGAGCGGAAAAGATTGTTCTGAGGAAAGAGGAGACCGGAGGCCGAAAGCTAAATAGTTGTGGGAGTAAATAACTGGTAACGGTTGTTTCTGAAATGCAGCTGAGGGGAGAAGAAGAGAGTAGAATAGAGATCGCCTTTTATAATATTTTAAGTGACGGCTCCAATGGAAGCATGACACGTGGAAATGTGGTCCCATTGACTATTAAATAATCAAAAAATGATGATAAATTAACTTTTTTTTAATTACAAAATATTGCTTTGTTGCTACAAACTGATTATGGATCGTGCAGCTGCATTATGGGCATTGATAGTCTCACTATTTATTTAAATTATTTTATTTTGTAAAATTTGTATTTACTCGAAAAGAAGAATTTATTACGCTATATGAAATATTAAATTTTAATTGTGTAATATACGAGTAGCTGAGTTAGGAAAGAATATAGAATTACATTTTACTATATAATTTGAAGTTAAAAAATAAATTAAGATATGAGGTTTGTGCTTTTTTGCTTTATCTTTAAAAAATTAGGAGAAAAAAAAATAAAAATTATCTTAATACATATTTTAAAAATATAATAATTTAATTTTTTTTAATAAAAATTTATTAAAATGATATAATTTTTGGATAATTTTTTTCCTAATCTTTAGGAGGTAAGACTGATAAATATTATTTTTTTAAAATATTACTGAGGTGATTTTTTGTATGAAATTTCTTTGGCTCGTGTAACATGTATAAGTTGGATAATGAAAGGCTGTTGGCCACCAAGATTGCAAACCCTATATATCAATGATGGCATTGATGGACCGTTGGGGTTAATCAGGACCGTTTATTGGGTTCTGATCTAATCGTGGGTTAGGTGGATTAATCTACTTTAATTATTTCGATCGGCGATATATACGTTACTTTAATTACAATCATAATTATGCTAGTACTAATTAGTAATATATATATTCTTTTTAGATTGTTTTTGTCTATGGTCAATTAACTAACTGAAAATGAACGCTGCCAACATCAAGAGCTTTGACATTTTGCATTTTTTAAATCCTGATGGGGCAGATCGCAGATGGCAAGAGCGTATGTGGTTTAATGCACAAGTATCACATGGAAAATTTAAAAAAGAAAAGAAAAGAATGTATGACATGGTAATAGAAAAAGATAATTTTGTAACGTGGATTGTATTTTTTTTTTTATAAATTGTTGATAGAAAGTTAAGTCTTTGATATTATGGACCAACTTTTTTTTTTATTAATAATTATAAGTAAGATTTATCCAAAACCAATTACATTCACTTTTTTTAAAAAAAATTATTACAAATATAAAAAATCATCAACTTTTTATTAAAATTGTTATTATGTTTAATTTTTAAAAAATATAATACATATAACCTCTTAATTTTAATTTTTTTTACTGTTTTCAGTCAACTTAAATATTTAAAAATTCAACTTAAAATCAAATGTTTTTTTTTTTTTTTTCGCTTGGTAATTATTTAGAATTTAAGGAGATGAATGGAGACAAGGGGAATCAAACACCAACCCAACAAGTAACAATTGCATGAGACAGTGGCGAGGTTGGTAACAACTGCTCTAGAGACAAGTTACTTAAAAGTCAAAAAGTTCTTCACATGGTATACCTTCGATGTTAGGTGTACTTGCAATGAAAAGTACCATAGAAGAAACCCACAATGCTATATAATGTTATGTTATTTTGCACATTAGATAATATAACGTAATTTTTTTATTATTGAATTAACACAAATAATATTAAATGCAAGTTGTTCAAATAAAAAAAA